ATGCTGCTATAAACACGTATCTTTTCAAATTAGTGTTTTGTTTTCTTTGGTAAATACCCAGAAGTGAAATTACTGGATCATATGGTATTTCTTTAAAAAAAAATATTTGGGGGCACCTGGGTGGCTCAGTCAGTTAAGCGTCTGCCTTCGGCTCATGTCATGATCTCAGAGTTCTGGGATTGAGCCCCGCATTGGGGTCCCTGCTCAGTGGGGAGTCTGTTTCTCCCTCTCCCTCTGCTGCTCCTCCTGCTTGTGCTCTCTCTTCTCTATCAAATAAATAAATAAAATCTTAAAAAAATATTTTGAGGAACCTCCAAGGAACCTTTATCTTTTTTATTCTAGCTATTTTTATGCATGTAAGATGATATGTCATTATGGTTTTGATTTGTATTTCTCAGATGATGAGTGATACTGAGCACCTTTTCAAATGCCTGTTGGCCATCTGTATGTCTTCTTTGGAAAATTGTCTATTCAGGTCCTCTGCCTATTTTTAATCAGCTTATTCGATTTTCTTGGTTTTGGATTGTATAAGTTCTTATATTTTGGATATTTATCATATATATCATTTGCAAATATCTTTTCCCACTCAGCAGTATAAACCTATAATCTTAAACCACCTACATTCTTCCTTGGAGATCAAGTAGCCGCCTCCTCCCGCCCCCCCCATTTCTCGGCTGAAGATGTTGTCTTGCCTAGAATCACATCACACACCAGGGGAAGATCCAGTGACAGTATGGATGGAGTGCCTTCTACTTGTAGGACACCAGTGGAAACGGCAGAATTTTGTCAGGAGTGTGTGTGTTGCTGCAGTGGGGACAGAACGATAAGAAACACTCTCCTTATGATCTGAACTTGTTAGATAAGTGCCCGTGAACACTACTGACCAAGAGCAAGTAGTTTGGGAATTCAGAGGAGGGGGACAAAGCTGAGTTGTAGACGTCATATATAATTACCAGCATCACGAACAAGAACAAGATTGTTGAAAGCTTTTTGGACGCAAAGCACCATGCTAAGTGCTGTACATACATTTTATTTAACCCCTATAAAAACCTCATGAAGAAGGCTGTTGTAACACTATCCATGAGATATTGCTCCCTAGAGCAAGGAAGAATGGGAGATTCTTCCCAGGCTGAGGGAATAATGTGAACAAAGGCAGGAATGCACAAAGCGTTGCCTCTTTATTTGGCTGTTGTCTATTGATTCCCCTAGAAGCAATATTGAAATTAACTAGAAACCTTGTCTCCTCCTCCCCTTTATGTCCTCCCCCAGCCCCGCATCTGCTTGAAGTAGTATCTGTTTACTCTAGATTAATACCTTTAAGGGTATCTCGAGCCCATAGGGGCAGCCTGGACTTGATAAGGCACATCAGGATATATTCCACCAATTAAATTCCCATGGCTTGCTAGCATTTAACCTGCTCACCCCTCTTAATCCATAAGAGCATGGGAGAAAAGCCCCTGAACATGATAGCTCCAAAATTCAGAACCCACAGAGGTGCAGAAATAACCAATAATATACAACAGCCTACACATAGCCCATGTGTATACAGCATTGGATGGTGCACCTGAATTATCCGTGTCCCAGCTCTCCTGAAAGTTCTGTGGGCCTCTTTGGCTTTCCTGGGCCACAGGCCATGGGCTATGGATTTTGCTATCAAAGTGAGACCCAGGGAAATGAGAACATTAACTTAATATTTGCCACTATTATGACATTATTATTGTTTTAGCTGTGATAATCATATTGAGGACTTTTCTCTTTTTGTTTATAGGAGCCCTTATCTTTTCAGATTCATATAAAAATAATTTGGTGTTAGGGAGGACATGGGGTCGGGGAATGGTGAAATGAGATTCAGTCTCTGAATCAGTAAATGTTGAAGCTGGGTGAAAACTTCACGGGAATTTATTATACTATTTTCTCCACTTTTGTATGTATGTGAAATTTTCCATAATAAAATGTTTTCTAAAAAAAAAGACTGGATCTGCTTGCAGAATTGAAGCACGTGTGGTAAAACAATATCCTTCAGAAGTGACAGTAAGAGTGGCAGCAGAAGTAAGAGCTCTTTTTCCCCAACAAAGACCCAAAGACACTCTGAGCTCTGTGACAAGACAAGGGCCTTGTATTCAGGCAACTTGTTAAAAATGAGCTCCACAACAAGGCAAAGTCAGAAATAAGCAAGCAGAGCCCGAGGCATGTCCACATTTACACATTTATTTGGGTTTAGAGAGACAACACAGATAAAATACTTTGATCATACACAAGTTTATATTTGGTAAGAAGAACATGTTGCCACGTGTTTATATTTTTTATTTTTTTCTGTCTTTAGTAAATGGCGTAATGTTGGAGAGATGTTGATGTCTTTCAGAAACACCATTTGGGAACAGTATTTTGGAGCACGAAACTAATAAATACACAGTGTTTGTACGTAGCATCTGAAAACAGGAGAGCACGTGCAAGATGATACCCACCATGAGGGTCCTTGATTCCCTGTCCTGCTGCTATATTTACACCTGTGCTTTCTTTGTCCACATTCTGAGGAATAGCTCCTACTCCAAACCCCAGTGGGGATAAAACCTGCAATTTGGGCAGTTTGTGACACTCCATATGGGTCTCCTCTATTCTCGGACATGAGCGGCATTCAGCTTGCATTTTTGTGCAATCACACAGTTCTCAAAGGAGATTTCTCGGTAGAGAGCTTAGCTGAGAGCATGTTCTCTATTAGAGCAGATGTGGAGGGCGTACAGTTTAGCAGAGAGAGGGAGAGAGAAAGCACACAGGAACAGATGCGGATGTTGTTCTTGTAATATTGATACAGCTACCACACAGAAAAAGACATGTCAATAATATATTGTACAAGCTTTTACAGCAACATATGTTGATTTGCAACACTGTACAGTTCAGAGCTAAAGTGCACAACCCCAATCTGAGGTGACGAGAGAGTACTATCAATATAATGAAAGCAACACAATTTATACACACAATTGATTTCCTTTGCTTTCTTCACAGCCTTGTGACAGTACACGAAGTCAATGCCATTTATGTGTCTCAGATAGACATACCACACGTTTTTTTCAAGTATTTAAAAATAATAAACACAATATTGCTGAATTAATGAAAATGGCCATGTCAATTTTGATTAAGTTAACCCCAGACTTTTCTTAAATTTGGAAAGGATGGTCCCACATAAAGGCCTTTGGCACTGGGAATTTGAGCTAATGTTCAAAACCACCTTCCTCCCTCCCTCCCTCTCTCCCAAGTAGATTACAGACCTACTTTAAAGAATATTTTATTAGAATACTGGGACCTATTAAGCTTTTATTTACCCCCTTTCCTGGGTTGTGGTTGGCAGGGATTTCACTGATTGAGCAAGACTCCCAGACAACTTGGGGAAGGATCTGGAAGGGGCGGGGAGTGGGGGCAACAACCTATTTGTAAAAATTATTTTGCTGGAATTTCATACAAAGACACAAATGCTTCTCCTTTTAATTCCATCATACCATCAAGTTAAAAAGCAGCAGCTTCTGATAGAGGATCGTACTGCAAGGTATAAGCATCCTGCAGTTGAGAGGGGTCTGCCCAGGTCAGGGCCCTGGGCTCCACTGTCTTCTCCAAGCAGGACAGTGGGTTTGACAGTTAGTGTCTCTGCCTCTGAGGTAGGACCTTTTGGCCTGAGTCTCAAGATAGATGGGCAGCTATGTGCTTAGTCTCAATGGCCCATTTCTAGAAGGGAAAGGGATGCTTGGCCATTAGACATAGCCTAGAATGGGAGGTTTATTCCTTCTTGAAATTCCAGGGTACAGATAAAAGTTTTCTCCTAATCATCATAGGGAACCCAAACCTATGTTCATTTCAAGTATCAATGTTTTTGGATATAATGTGGGAGAAAGAATGTAGGGGCAAGCTCATGCAGATTTCAGATGGTGGGATCTTACGGTTATATTATAGGGCATTTCTTTCTTTCTTCTTTTGTATACCTGTAGTCTTTCTAAGATACATATAGAAAGGATGAATGTTCTAAGTTTGTATCTGCAATCTGCATAGATCAGTCTGTAGTCATCATACTAGTACTTGGAATCCGACAAACTGTGGCCCCACAAATATCTATGGGAGCTCTTGTTAGTTCAGGCTTCTCCATCAGGTTTGTAGGGGAAGAAGAATTCTTTAAAATATTATCCTGAATTCTAAGGATCTTCCTATCTCTGCATACTCTGGTCACTTTCAATCTTAACGACTGAGCACCCAGGTGCCCCTGGTCACTTTCAATCTTGACAAGAGGCAGATAAAAGAAGTCTTAAGATGCTGTCTCAAAATCTCAGGTGAAGAGCTCACTTCATGAGAGGAAAATAACCACCCATGGGATAGAAATTAATTATTTGGGATTCCAGTGATGGGAACTTTTGTGTGTAGGAGAGGGGAAAGAATGGAAATAAGCAATTACCCAGGAGGTAAATGACTCCTTCCTGGACAGTGACAATATGGTGCCCAGGAGGACATCATTGTTCACACAAAGATCTCTTCTCTCAAGGCCAAGTTTAATTTTCTGGGATCACCACCTTCTGGAGTGTGCTTCATTCCTTTTTGCTCAGGCTGATTAGATTTTATTTTTATTTTCTCTAATTAATCCAAATGACCTAATAAAAGAATACTCTTTGGGAAGATGCTTCCAGAACAAGCATCCACCTTCTGTTCAAAACAAGCTGAACTGGAAAGCAGAGTACAATTACCCTAGTTTTAGTCTAAGATGAAGCTTGGCTTACCATGCTTACTGAGGGGGTCTGCTCAGGGTCAACTGGGCGGAAAACTCAGCAGGGAAGAGAATCTTATTGTCGATCTGGTCAGTCATTTTAAAGAACTTGCAATATTCTTTTGTGTTTGTTTTGTAATACTAACTTTAGAGATATGATAAACCGTCACATGAATAGAAAGAAGGCATTATACCTTTTAAGAATTTTGTGGGCCTATGTTTCAAAATAACTTTGCTCAGTGTTTTATTGTGCCTCCATTAAAAGAAAGAGAAAAAAAAATCTGGCTTAATTTTTATATCTGACCCTGCAGTTTGTATAACCCATATAAAATAAAAATCTATATGTTACAAAATAGGATTTCTTTTTAATATATATATTTTCCTTTTGTAAAATTATATGTATTTAAATACATTTGAAATGTTGCTATAGGTAAATTAGAAATTTTTTTTCTAATACTATGAAAAAGGCAAGAGTTTTTATTGTCAACATACATTTTATATGTACTTTCTCCTTTGGACTGTGCCCCAAAGAACCTTTTAGGATTCAGGGGCAATTTGGCACTATTCAATCGTACTACTCTGAAGTGAAAATAAAGCTTGATTTGCATACTATATTAAAAGTAAGGGAAGTATTTATAACAATTTTAAGCTTTTCATTACTGATTAGAACACAGCCTTTTGTCACTAATTTTTAGAGAGGTATTCTAAACTTAGGAAAGGATTTTTAAAAGGAGCAATGTTTTTTGGATTTTTAAACTGTACTCTACTTTGACATCACAATATAGAAATAGATTTACTTTGGAACAAACTACAAATACATTCACACAGTTTGTGACAACTTAATTGTCTACCTAGAGAATTGAAACAGCTTAGTGAGCTATGTTATTATAAATCTTGTCCAAGGCGTTCTATTTCTTCAATCAGGAAGTCAATATCTTGGTGAGTTGCTGCGGGATTTGAGATGACCATGCGGAAGAAATTGACCTTGTCTCCCAAGGGCTGGTAGCTGACCATTGTGGTCCCATACTCCATCATTCTGGCTTTAATCACTGGGGCCACCTGTGGGAGAGACCAGAGCCACATGGTGACCCCTGGGGACCCTTCCTCTAGTAAAAGAACCCAATATCAAGTAGCATTTTTAGTTTTTAATTAAACAACCAGACTCATATTTGTTTCCCTTAAAGAAATTTTCTCCAAGTTTTTTCGGGATCAGAGCACTAGAGCAGTTTAATACATCCAAATTCTTGAAGGTGATAAGATGAATAATAAGTGATAGGCTCTCAGTTGTTTGCTCCCTCATCCTTGACTTTGTGAAAAAGAAAACTGCAGACCCCAAATGGAGTCACACTAGGCCACGTCACCAACCCTGGGCTTCATACCTAACCTAATTGCACTTTCAATTTCTTCCAAGAACATAGTCTTAGCTGGTCAGTCAGGAATCTTCTGGTCAGCATCAAAATGGTACTCAGTCACATGGCCCCTTCCCATCCCCCAAAGAAACATGAGGTAATCACCTAATAAGACCCTTTTCCCCAAAGAAAGGTGAGCTCACCCCAAATAATTCTCTTTTCTGTTTGTGACTTCCTTGTCCTGCCTTTAAAAACCTCTCCCTTTCTATAGCCCCTTGGAGCTCCCCTCTACTTCCTAGATGGGATGATGCCTAAAGCCAATTAGATTTTTAAACTATACCTCAGTTGAGTTTTTGTTATTTAACAACTTGCAGTTATGGTTTTGGGAGAATGGGAAGAATTCGGTGTTGGTTCCAAGGCTAAATAGTTTAGCAATACACCATTTGGGGGAGGGCTTTTTGTTTTTCCCTCAGTAGTTATAAAAACACTGGAAATAGAACATAGCTCAGAGAATGGTTACCAAGAGGTAAGCCTCAATATCAAGTGATGTCTGAAAATAAGCAGACTTTTGAGCCTTTAAAGCCCTTTTCTTTCTTGAGACCCTAAAGCTTTCCAGTTTCTTTTCATTTTCCTTTTGCATTATCTCACTTTATAAGATTTTTTGAAATGCATTCCTTAATCATGATGAAAATCAGCTGAGGCCAAAAGGAGAGCCCACAAACACTTAACATTACAGAGGTGGCTCTCAGGTGAGATTTTACCACATGTATGCCAGAATGATTACAGTGTCAGTAGTTCTCTGATGACTGTGTATGAGATGAAGTTCAAACTCTCGAGCTCAGCACAAAGCTATTTTGTCCCCCAGCTCTGAGGACTTATCTTCCAGTGCTCGCTAAAACTAATCTTCAACTCTGCCACATATATTTTTCTCCCTTCACACTTGTCCTCAGTCTTCCTGTGTCACACTTGTTGTCTTGGCTCCAAGTTCCCTTTCTCTTCCAAGACATATCCTATACAGACCCAAAGACTCCACCACAGACCTACAACCATGATGAAGCTTTTCTTGACTCCTCTAGTCCAGTAGCTTCTTTCTCCTTTTAAGTGGTAAATACATGATCCTTACCCATAGAGTATGTCTGCAGAAACTTTCCTACTGTCCTATTACTTATAAGAAAATACATTTCATCTCTGTAATTTCGAAACCGTAAGCTCTGAAGGGCATAGTGTCTTTTACTTCTTTTGTTTACAAGCACAACTGTGTGTGCACATTGAGGGCTCCCCAAGTCCTTATTAAATTAAATAAAGAGTAGAATAATAGGGATAGCTATCTAGGAAGAGGAACACATTTAACTTAGGTCTAACCATGTGTATGATCTGTTCATGTATTTTACCATTAGAGTCTGTAAATATAACATCTGATCATTTAAGTTCATTGCTGCAAATATGTAACCAGGAATGGTTGATGTCAGGGAGCTTTAGACTTATTTAGATATACATAGTAAGTAACTCAGTTCAAAATGGGGACTATACCTTACATCATAGTTGGATTCATTTTAATGAAGAATAGTTTGATTCAGATGGAATGCTGTTATGAACATGCAACTTTTGAACATCAACACTTAAATAATCATTTGTTTACAATGAGATTTTCATCTTCACAGTACTCATTGTGAAAATGACATATCTGATAAAGTGTTAGTATCCAAAAATCTATAAATAACTTATAAAATTCAACACCCCAAAAACAAAAAATCCAATTAAAAAATGGGCAAAAGACATTTCTCCAAAGAAGACATCAGATGGCCAATAGACACATGAAAAGATGCTCAACATCACTCATCATCAGGGACATGCAAATCAAAACTACAATGAGATTTCATCTCCCACCCGTCAGAGTGGCTAAAATAAAAAATATAAGAAACAACAGGTGTTGGTGAGAATGTGGAGAAACGGACCCTCTTACACTCTTGTTGGGAATGCAAACTGGTGCAACCACTGTGGAAAACAGTATGGAAGGTCCTCAGAAAGTTAACAATAGAACTACTTTATGATCCAGTAATTGCACTAGTAGGTATTTACCCCCAAAATATAAAAACACTAATTCAAAGGGATACATGCACTGCTATTTTTATAGCAGCATTATTTATAATAGACAAATTATGGAAACAGCCCAAGTGTCCTTTGATTGATGAATGGATAAAGAAAAGGTGGTATATATATGTGTGTGTGTGTGTGTGTGTGTGTGTGTATGCACACACACAAGGGAATAAAAAAGAATGAAATCTTGCCATCTGCAACAACGTGGATGGAGCTAGAGAGTATTATGCTAAGAGAAATAAGTCAGAGAAAGACAAATACCGTATGATTTTACTCATATGTGGAATTTAAAAAAACAAAACAATGGTTTTCTTTTTTAAATTGATCAAGGGAAAAAAAAGAGAGAGAGAAACCAAGAAACAGATTCTTAACTATAGAGAACAAACTGATGTTTACCAGAGGGGGGGTGGGGAAATGGGAGAAATGGGTGATGGGGATTAAGGAGGGCACTTGTTGTGATGAGCACCAGGAAATGTATGCAAGTGTTGAATCACTATATTGTACACCTGAAACTAATATAACACTGTATGCTAACTATACTGGAATTTAAAATTTAAAAAAGAAAGCTAAGTGAATGTAAAAAAACCCCAAACAAAGTACTCAATGTGTAAAAGCGACGTATTTCCTATCAGGCCCAATTATTTATTAGTTACCAAAGGGAAAACCAAGGACAGAGTTCATCTTCACTTTCATGTCACCCTCACCTCACATCCTAAACCTAATTGCCTCATCTAAACATGAATGTGCTTGATGATTCCAGCCCTGGGATTTTCTGATTCTAGGTTAATGTGTTCTTAAGTCTCTTTCAGCCTCTTTTTTATTACACAGGAAGATAATATAAAGAGGAATGTTTCTTTTTTTCCCCTGAAGGATTAAGGATGTACATAGAGCATCGGGCTCATCTCAGGGAATAAGTATGAAAAAGAATCTGAATATCTCAACTCTGGGGTTAAGTTCTGAAAGTGGATCTAGTAGAATATTCTAGCATAAGGACATGAAATTTATCACTTTGTGCTGTGAGACATGGCAAATCAATGTGTTCCTGGGAAGAGAAATCCCAAAATAGAAAAGGAATTCCAAATCCATGTGTCTGTGGAATTTTAGGAAGAATCACATAACTATTCCTTAATTTTTATTTGTGTAATAAATCATGCTTGCTCTTTAGAACTGACAAAAACAATGATAATGCTTTACTCAGTGAATTAAACTCTGATTTCATTTTCATGGGCAATCCCAGCAAAACCACATAGAGATGGCATTTATTCTTAAAGACAATCATCTCTAACTTTTCAGAGAAGTTAAATCAAATCAGAAGTTAAATCAAATTAATCAGAAATTAAATTAAATGGTAACAGACATCATCCCAAACAGATTTTGGTATAAAGTCAGATCGATTGCTCCCAGTTACTGAAGCTAGCTGGGTTGGAGAAATCATATGACTTTTGTCTAAATACATATGACTTTTGGTTGCTTCCAGAAAATGTGGATGAACTAAAATTAGCAGAAACATGGAACATCTACTTCATTGCATAATCACTAATTGCAAGTTCAGAAGGAAAATAAGATTCTGACTCTTCTGATGAATATATAGCATTTTCACTTATTTCTAGATGTTGTCTTTTGATCTCATTCTTGGTTTTGTTGAATAAAGAGAGTCAGGAAAGAGAGGCTGCCTGTTGAAGATTTCACTAAAGACCTCAGCAGGAGCTCTTGGTGCTGCCTTATAAGTTTTAGGGTGTCATTTTCTCCCTTGTGTCATTAGCTTTTTCAATCCCTTAGAAAACAATAACCAGGGAACTATCCCATAATTTGAAATCACATTTATTTCTCCCAAGAGAGCTCAGGTTAAAGCATCATGGAATCACAGAAATGTATTTTTTCATTATGTATCACAAAATCTTTTTGTTTCAAAATCTTGGAAACGTGAGTGAAATTTGTGGAAAAATGAAAAAGCAGAATAACAACAAATAGGAATCCTAACACTTTAAAATTTCACCAATTAAATTCCTTGTTACATTTAACAACGTAGACTTTGGAAGAGTGTCACCTTAAATATGAGGCCAATCTACTTCCTTACCAATGTACTTTTCAATCCACTGTTGACCTTTTGGAAGTTCATCAATTATAGACTGGTAGAAGTCAGGATGAGATATGCAGATAATGATCAAATACAATGCAATAAAACACAAGATGAAGGTGATGATGAAGAACCAGGATTCTTGTCTGATGAATGCCCTCATGGACTCCACCTGCTTGTCCTGCCTGTGTCTAAGGCATTTGCCTGTGGTCGTGTGGCGCCCCAGGCCTTCTGTGTCCACTGTGCCTCAGTGATGATGGGCCACCTGCACATTCACAGTCCTGATCAGGCAGCAGGAAATACTACAACCTGATTCTCAGCCTCCCTCATGAAGTGTTGACTCTGCTTGTTTCATAATAACCACCTGTTGCCTAGATATCTGTCCCCATGTCACTGTGAGCTCTGGAGAAAGACCTATGATCCACTAGTAGGTTTCCTAAATATCGTTTCTGCTCCCTGTTCTGGAATGTGTAAATGGCACTTTAGCTCAGCAAACGTTGTTGAATGCCTTACTGTATGCTAAGCCTTGTACCAAGACAAGAGGGCACAAAGAGTAATTCTTCCTTGGAGGGTCCAGAATTTAACTTAATTCTCGTTTGCCACATGCCACATGGAAGTCTCCACATTTCCTCCCATTTTGGGTCTATGTCAGCACTGACAAGAGAATTTTATGTAGTGATAGAGATGTGTTATATCTCCACTATCTGATACAATAACCACTGATCACAAGTTGAGCCCTTGAAATGTGGCCAGTGTAACTGAAGAAGTGAATTTCTGGTTGAATTTAATTTTGATTGATTTAAATTTAAATTCCCTACGCGGCTATTGATACCACACTGGTTAGAGCAAATCATCTATTTTATTCTACCTCCGCTGTTTTCCCTCTGGGATTGTGTGCATGTGTGTGTTTGAGCGTGTGAAGATTTACTGGTCCCTGGACATTATACTTTAAGGGATTTATATTTAAGAAGAAACTTTTCTGAAACTCTGAAAAATTATTGACATAAATAAACAAAAGTTAACCTTGATATTTTATGTGGTTCTACTGAATCAGAATTCCAACTCTGACTTGCTGAATTCTCTATCTTCTAGTCAGGAAAATGGAATCACAGGAGAGGAAAAAATTAAGAGAACTCATTTTGCAATCCCCAGACCTAATTCAAATTTGAATTACCAACAGTATAAAAATAGTTGACTAATATTCTCATGGCTCTCCCCAAGAAATAATCTCCATTCCCATCACAGTTTATGTGATTTGCCAAAACCTGAGGCATCTGAAGAGAGCTGTATTGAAATGGGGGGAATTCAGAATTGATTTTTTTTAAAGATTTTATTTATTTATTTGACAGAGAGAGAGAGACGGCGAAAGAAGGAATACAAGCAGGGGGAGTGGGAGAGGGAGAAGCAGGCTTCCCGCTGAGCAGGGAGCCCAATTCAGGGCTCAATCCCAGGGTCTTGGGATCATGACCTGAGCCGAAGGCAGACACTTAACAACTGAGCCCCCAGGCACCCCTCAGAATTGATTTTTGCTCAGAAAGTGATGGGAAAAACTGCTTTCTGTTCTGTTTTCCCATCTTGCCCCATCCCTCAGCCCAGCAATAATGAATTGATCCAACAAATGAAATCAGTCAAATTACCCCATGGATTCTGTCTGATCAATGGATTCATTAAAGAGGTAGAGCCAATGAGAATGGAAACATCTAATTTCTAACTAACTTGTTAAATAAAATTAGTTATTGGTAAGATGATACATACTGCGGAGAAGCCACACCATAAAACATCAGGAAAAAATATGAATTCTTTCTTCTCAAACGAAAACAGGCCCCTTTTTGCCTCCCTATCATCTTTTCCAATGTGACCCTCATCCTGCCTCCCTCCTATCTCTTGGGCTTGATTTCTTGGAATGAGCAAATGAGCCAACTTCATTAAAACTTCAAACATGACCATGACCCATCCTACTCAGACACATGCACTGATGGATTCCCATTCTAGAAGCTTTCTTCCATGCATTCCTCTAGGTCAGTGGCTCTGAGCCTGGGCTGCACATTGGGATCACCTGGAGAACTTTTAGAACCATTCCCAAGCCCATCCCAAACCAACTGGATTAAATTCTCAGGGTTAAGACCTGGTCATCAGTGTTTTCTATAAAGCTTCAGGCTGATGAAGGTTTGATCCTGGATTGTCTACTGGCAGGTATTCACATTTATAAGCCTTCCTGGAGGTTTTAAACCACAAAAAATCCTGTTGTTTGACATAGAAGGAAATAAAATATTCTGAAAGGTCAGTGAGGCAGCCCAGGCTCCTTCGCAGTGGGTGAGAGGGCCTCCCCTGTTCCTGACAGCAACTGGAAGAAGTCCCCTCCTTTGTGGTAAATGGAAAACCAACCAACCAACTAACCCAGGCTCTGAGATCCAAATACACACAATCAACCCTAGTTTCCCATTCCTCAACACTGAGATGGGGCCCCACAATTACCTCCCTTCAAGATTCTCTTTGGGGTACATTATCAACCGAATCTCACCCATGTGTAAGTGATGGGAGCAGGAGAGGAAAAAGAGAAAGGATATCTTACTGGCCACAGAAGAATCTGAAGTTCAAGCCCTCCAGCTCTGGAGTCAGTGATTTTGGGAAAGTGATTTTTTTTTTTTCCTCTCTGTGCTTCAGTTTCCCCCTCAGCAAAATGGGGAGACAGCAGTGCTTCCCAGATTAGTTTGCTTAGACTGAAGTAAATTTCTAGGCCCATGATGGGGCTGCTTCTGCCCAGATGTCACATCAGGAAATGGACACTTAACTTGCATAACCCTGTAAATGCTCTGTTTAACCAGAAACATGGAATATCCAGTCAGGAAATCCCCAACGCCAAGCCAACCCTGGGCTCTATACTTATTTTGTTGTTCCTTACTCATTTTCTTTTTCTTTTCCTTTTTTTTTTTTTTTTATAGAGAGAGAGAGAGAGAGAGGGTGCATGAGCGCGTGCATGCATGCACACAAACGGGGAGGGTGGGCAGAGGGAGAGGGAAAGAGAATCTCAAGCTTGTTCCATGCCCAACACAGAGCCTGACGCGCGGCTCCATCTCACGACCCTGAAATCATGACCTAAGCCAAAATCAAGAGTTGGACATTTAACCGACTGAGCCACCCAGGTGCCCCTCCTTATTCATTTTCTATCTTTCTCTTCCTGTTCCTTATTCTTCATCCTATAAAAGCTTCTTGCATTCCACCCCATTTTGCAGTTCTCTGGACCCCTGGGAATGGAGGCTGCCTACTTCATGAAGTGTTAAATGAAGTTTGTTTGTGTCACCTAAATTGTCTTCTTCAGTCCTTTCTAACACTTATGATAATTGAGTGATTTAATGCTAGATCACAGTTGAGCCTGGGACACAACATGCACTCTACACAGTGGCCATTAGTATTGTTCCCTGCCCCCGGGCCCTTCTGGGGTTCACCATAGCTCTAAAGACTCCACAGGGTAGCCTTGACCTTGGCATCTCAAGAGGGTCAGCAGCAGCTCTGATTTCTAACCATTGCTGGTGCCTGAAATCTCTTCTGTGTTTTTAACAGTTTTGCTGGGCAGGTCAGCCAACTTCACCAAGGGTTCTTTTTTTTTTTTTTGCCCTTATATATTTTTTAAAATTTTATTTTATTATGTTATGTTAATCACCACACATTACATCGTTAGTTTTTGATGTAGTGATCCATGATTCATTGTTTGCGTATAACACCCAGTGCTCCATGCAGTACGTGCCCTCTTTAATACCCCTCACCAGGCTAACCCATCCCCCCACCCCCCTCCCCTCTAGAACCCTCAGTTTGTTTCTCAGAGTCCATAGTCTCTCATGGTTCGTCTCCCGCTCCAATTTCCCCCCCTTCATTCTTCCCCTCTTGCTATCTTCTTCTTCTTCTTTTTTTTTTTAACATATAATGTATGATTTGTGAATGACAGTAAAGCTGTCACCTGATTGCTTATTTTAAGATATCATAAACTTGCTCTCAGGAAAAAAGAAGCAAACAGAGTAGTCAAAAGTCTGGCTATACCAGGTCTGAATGGCCTGGTTCTGTAGGAGCCCATGAAGGGGAGTGGGCCTGTGCACCAAGGTCAAGGTTGGATTTCTCCTCTCTAGAGAGACGCCGTGCATGTGCAAGGCCCACTAGACGCGCTGATGTCCGGACCAGAGAAGCCTGTATCACTGACCTTTGAGAGGCGGCTCATTCTCTCTTCATTGTCCTCCAGGACACGCAGACTCGGGGGCACGTACCAGAAACAGACATTTGTGTGCTGAGGCTATAAGGAGGAAAGTAAGATTCACACTCGGCCCATCGTGGCCATTTAGAAAATTCCAAGGACATTTCAAACCTATTCTGCAGCTTCCGAATAGGATTCCTACTTTAAATCCATAATCACTTTTGGAGTGCCTGACTTCCGCCACCTTATATAGAGTTATTGTTTTGTCAGTTTGCGTTTTTTACTCCAGCTCAGGACAGTGACCCCATCAGCCCAGCTTCTCCTTTGTAATGCTCCCCTTTACCTGGACAGTACATGATTGACATTAAAAAAAAAAAAATCCGTGATTGGTAAGAACTGGAACTGACTCAACTTTCTGGGATTGTAGAGATCAGAATACGCACCTTTCCGTCAAACACCATTTCGTATCCTTCTCGGTTTTTTATGATATTGTATAAATACTCCGCCAGCTCCACGCACTTATCAATATGTGCTTCGAACCCAGTGGTGCCCTGAGCAAGAGAAGAAAGCTTGTCAGGCGGGTGGACTCTCTGTGGGGCTAATCTCTCTGGAGACTGATGCTTTCTCTGCCGCTTCCACCTCAGGGCTGCTCCACACTTTCCTTGATAAGACTGTGCTTCCAGAGGCTTTTCTGGCGATTGTTTCTCCTTTGATGCTCCCCCCTCAGGTGTTTTAGCTCCTTTCATGTCATCACAGCTCCCTACAGCGGATTCCTCTTCTTCCCGAGGCCCCATTCTCTCGTAGGCAATTATTTTGATTACTCGAGGGGAAAATTTGCCTCTGCCACTCTGAGGGGTAATTACGGAACTCAGTAATGACAGGAGGCTGGGCTGTTCTTCTCCTGTGGAGAAGCAGCATCATCAGGGAGCCCCCAGCAGGCCAGCTTAGCCCCTGCCCATCATGAAAATTTACCATTTCCAGATCCCACTTTGGTTCACCAATGTAACCCCATTATAGAACAAATAGGGTAGGTACTCAATGAAGATTTGTTGAACAAATGAATGTATGAATCTTAAGGGGCACACAGATGCTTTGTTAGCCTGTCATTCTGCAAAGCTCATTAGATTTCTCCTCTGGGGATAAATGACTCATGTGTTGGTAATGGGCAAACATTATCAGGGAGGCCTTTTAGTTTCCAGCTCCGGAAGCCCAAGAACTTGTGAAAAATAACGCTACAGCTGTGGACTGGAGCTGTTTAACGGACCTCAGGACACTCCAGGACATTACTTTTCAAAATGGCTTTCCTCCTAACTCCTTCAGCATTTCTGGAGTGCTAATGGAAAGCTTAGACAAACAGCTAACGCTTATTCCAGGAGCACTTGGAAGAGGCCAACCCGTGACTAATCCAACATGGAAACTGGAGGGAGCAGCTGTAATGGACATAAGATGGGCCCGTGCTCCTATTGATGGTCTCATCATTTCAGCTAAAAGGGGGATGCAGCATAGCCAGTGACTTTAACATCTGAAGCCTTAAAGAAATCTGATGGGCTCAGGAATCATTTCTATGGAGACTGCCACCCAAGTTGATTGGTCAAAGAGTCTGACTGGTTCCTGATGACCCCAAGGAAGGGCCCTGATTGATGCCTGAACACTCGGGCCAGAGCCTACACCATGCACTCTATGACTTTGTGGTGTCAAGGATTTGGGGTTGGTTTGGACTGACCTGGCAGTTTGGGTACACTGGGGATGGCCCCTAAGTGGGAGGGAGAGAAGTTCATTGTTCTCCAAACTGGATCCTTTGGACCGGTCCAGAGTTGGCTTTAAACTGGCACGTACTTGATCCAGGATATGGCCGGGACCAGCGGGACTCTGAGCCTGTCCAGCCCCATGGCCTTGGCTAATCTCCCTGATCACATGGGAAGGGTGGTGTCTGTGTGATTTCCCTCCCACACAGGGACATGGTAAAGTAAAATGAATGCTCTGAAAAGGAGTTGTATTGCAAAGGCAGTGTGATCATCACAGACTGGATGGGGAGTCCTCTGGCCTTTGCTAGTCTAGGACTTTACTTGAGATGATCAGGAGTAACCTGACCATCCCTAGTTGTAAGCTAAAGAGGTACAAGGGATGGGTGGGGGGTGGGGGGATGACACAGGAAACTCTAGTGTGCTCTTAGAAGCCTGTCTCTTCATGTTGGATATTTATGGGAATAAGAGCCATATTTTATTTTCAAGGTTTTGAAGGCTTTTAGGAGATTCTCCAAAATGTACTCATTCATCAACTACTTTCTGAGTAGTTGTTCTATGCCACACAGTTGTTACTCTGAGAATAACAGGATACCTGGAATACCCTGGAAAACTTGATCGGGCGTGACATCACCATGACCCGGGTTGCTATGAAGGAAGCTGAGGAGGGCTCTGACCGGCGCGCCTAAGTCAAAGTCTGGACCCCAGCGTCTGAGTTACGCTGAGGGAGCTGCAGGAGAAAGATGGTTTTATTTTCTCCCTCATTGCCCACACACTTAGGATTGGTTTAGGCTGACATGGCTGAAATGCACACTCCACAAGGGCACACACTGGTGTTTCTTTTGTTCACCACTGTCTCGCTCGTACCAGCAGGGCTGGCATACATTAGGTGCTCAATGTACATTTGTGGAATGAATGGATGAGTGGATGGAAGTCTACTTTTAATCCCCGGGGCAGTGTTTTTACAGAGTATGTTCTGAGGAACCATCTCTATCGGCACCAAGTTAATTGCGTTAATAACGTAGCTCTGCTGGTTGAAATCCTACGTATTCTACCTATCCTCTTCTAGACCCGTCTCCGAGGCGACCTCTTAATAAATCATTTTTGGCTCTCAAACTAGGAATGGGCTTTCCATCCTTTAACTTCCAAGGTGCGTCTGTGTTTCTTTTACAACCAGTTATTTTCTGTCTTATGTGATGGTTATCTGTGCATTTAGCTTACCTCGTCTGGAAAATTGTGGCCCCCTCATCCCACCCAGCATCAGGCACAATAACAGATACTCATTAGCTACTTATTAAAATAAATTGGTATTTTAGAGAGAAAGTGAACATTCATTCAGTCACTCAGCAAAGGGTGCCTCGTATCACTTTCCCTTTAATGGTTTTCTCCTGGTATTTTTTTTTTCTCAGCCATTTGCCAGTCCCTCTGTTACCTACATTTTTTTTTTTTTTTAAAGACAGAGAGAGACACAGCCAGAGAGGGAACACAAGCAGGGGGAGTGGGAGAGGGAGAAGCAGGCTCCCCGCTGAGCAGGGAGCGCGATCGGGGCTCGATCCCAGGACCCTGGGATCATGACCTGAGCTGAAGGCAGAGCCACCCAGGCGCCCCTGTTATCTACATTTTTAATGAGGAAGGCCAATCACAGAAAACTATAAGGAAACCTGCTAATTTGCATAACCATACACAGAGAAATTTACCATGAAAACTAGGTAGTTACACATTGAGCCATGGTTGCAGACCTAAAATTAAGGTTCGTTCATTCTCTGTCTCTCTCCCTCTCCCTCCCACCCTCTCTCTCTCCCTTCCTTCCTCCCTCTTTCTTTCCTTCCCCCTTCCTTTCTCCTCCCTCCTTCCTCTCCCTCCCTCCCCCACTCTTCCTCCCTCCCTTCCTTCCTCCTTCCCTCTGCCCCTCCCTCCCTTTCCTTCCTTCCTTTCTTCCTTTCTCTTTCTCCCTCTCTTTCTTCCTCCCCTCCCTCCTTCCTTCCTTCCTTTCTCTTTCTCTTTCTTCCTCCCTTCCTTCCTTCTTTCCTTCCTTCCTTCTTTCTTCCTTCCTTCCTTTATCTCTTTTTGTTTTTTTCTATCTACTCTGAGTTTTACCCACCGAGGAAATCTGGAAAATCTGGAAAATAACCACCAAGTCTTATTTAACATTCTCTAATAAAATACAGACAGAATGAAAGATCTCCTCACTAAGAACAGAGCTGAGGGCAGGCACAGGGCCTTTGCTCCTGACAGGCTTACGTCTGGTATTACTGTCCGGAAAGCCTGCCAGCATCACGTCAAGAGGCTCATTTTTTTGGGGGGGGGGGGGCATATAGTTGCTTTCATCAAGTTCTCTTGGACTTAATGTGGAGACTGTCTGTCAGTGCATTTAGCTCCATCAGTCATTAACGGATTAAGGAATATTTATAGTTAGGTTACTTATTTTCATGTGGTTTGTATTGCGAAGGAGAAAATGTGGATTCACTTGAATGCTGCAGTCTCCAGGCATATCTGATAACAGCGGGTTTACTGATTAATGCTGCCTCCTCCTCAGTATTGTTTTTGCAGATCCTTTTCTCATGCCCGAGGGGATAGGAGATGGAATGTCATAGCTTGCTCTTTCTCGGTTCTTCTGAGGGCAGGCTGAATTCTTCCCTGGCTGGCATCACTAGAGAGCTCTCACAAGAGGGTGACTACCCTCCCCACTCCTCTGGACTGTAGGACTGAGCTTAGGGCTTTGATCGTTATTACCATTTCATTTTGCAAAACACGCAGCTTTAAGTCGAAAAGCAAATGGAAGTTTTTTGCCATTTATGTGTCTAGATACTTAAGTTTGGCATGAGGAATTAAAGGAATATGCATCCCTAATTTACGGATAAATTATGCGGCTGCTGGGATTGTTTTTTTTTTTTTTCTTTTTTTCTTCCCTCTTTTGATGCCTTTACTTCAGCGCGTTAGAGTCTAGCTCCTCGGCCCTTATTTCAGGCTTCAGTTGTTCTTGTTGTTTCATTCACACCTGATGGCCTGCAAGTTATTTCTCTTACAGCCAACCGTTGCCCCATGCTGGCGAGGGGGCTTCAGATGGAAAAGGAGCTGCAGGAACCGATGAAGCATGAGAGGAACACTTTTGTGTAAATATAGCTAATGATCGTCATCGTAATAGAAACACCACAGGAAAAGGGGACAAAAAGGATGATCCTGAGCAATATTTAGAGATCATGTTTTCCTCCACTGCCTAGCTGATGTTCATGTTCATCAGTTTTGATTCCCACCAATCAATGAAATGAAAAACCTACTCATTTTCAAACAGTTTGAGAGGACGCCAATAACTCCTGCTCTTGATTTATTTATTTTTGCCAAATGAGACTCATTCCAAAGAATGAGTCTTATCTTGGGTGGTGGGGACCCAGTAAGTGTCCTTGTGCAAGCTCTTTTGAGAGAGGAGGGGGCCCCTGCCCATCCAACCACTTTTACTAGGGCAATAACTCCAGGCAGCCGCTCCATACTTAGTACCACTTAGAAGAGATTCAGAGGGGCGCCTGGGTGGCTCACTCGTTAAGTGTCCTCAGTTAAGTGTCTGCCTTCAGCTCAGGTCATGATCTCAGGGCCCTGGGATCGAGCCCCGCATTGGGCTCCCTTCTCCTCAGGAAGCCTGCTTCTCCCTCTCACTCTGTCTCTCTCAAATAAATAAATAAAGTAAAAAAAAAAAAATAAATAAACTGCCTTTTTCCTGAATAGATCTTTAGAGGCTTCCTTTAGATAGTTGCTGACTGCATTATTTCACACCCAAACCCCCTCTGTTTCTTGTTAGCTATCTGCCTCTCTCCTGCTCAGGCATTCAGTTGACTTTGAAAAGTCTTACGGAGGACATTAGGAGAAGGAAGGGAAAAATGAAGGGGGGGAGGTCCGAGGGGGAGATGAACCATGAGAGATTATGGACTTCAAGAAACAAACTGAGGGTTACAGAAGGGAGGGGGGTGGGGGGATGGATGAGCCTGGTGATGGGTACTAAGGAGGGCACATATTGCATGGAGCACTGGGTGTTATACGCAAGCAATGAATCATGGAACACTGTATCAAAAACTAATGATGTGGGGCACCTGGGTAGCTCAGATGATTAAGCGTCTGCCTTCGGCTCAGGTCATGATCCCAGGGTCCTGGGATCAAGCACGGTATCAGGCTCCTGGCTCAGGAGGGAGCCTGCTTCTCCCTCTCCTTCTGCCTCTCCCCCTGCTCGCGCTCTCTGTCTCTCTCTGTATCTCTGTGTCTCAAATGAATAAATAAAATCTTTTAAAAATGCTAAAAAAACCCTAATGATGTACGGTATGGTGACTAACATAATAAAATAAAATAAAATTAAATAAAAAAACCCCCAAAACCACGGCATAGGGAACTTTCTGCTGTATACATGGTTCCTTACACAGGCACAATCTGTGATCTCACCCTGGCAGGTTGCACGCGTGCTGACCAAGTTATCTGTGTGTCCCCTGGGATGGGAGGGCCCCCCTATTTGTGTGGGCTACTGAGAAAGCATCCAGCCCAATCTAGCCCCTCCCTCAAACATGGAGGACCTCGGGGTGTGCCAGCCTCCCTCTAACCTCGCCCTTTCTTGTTTCCTTCATCAAGTTTCCCTTATGGACTCTTTGAGCGGTGGGTTTTCTAGCAGCTGGGTGTCTCTGGCATGTCCAGCTGGCTCTGGCCATTGCCTCCTGTGGGAGGTAAATGAAACCAGGTGGGAAGTCACTGATTTGTAACATTGAAATTAGGAATCTCATCCAAATGAGAAAGAAAATCTTTGACCTTTCCAGCCTGCTTACATTTCAGCACACAGGGATCCTCTTTGAAGCCGGCAATGAGTCGAGCCCAAACTGTGCACCATTACAGAGTTTCTGTTTCTGGGTGGAGTGATCAAGGGTAGTTAAATTCTGGGGTAAACAGAGAAAGCTTACAAAATGAAGTCACTGGGTAGTTCCAGGGTTTGGTTTTTTTTTTTTTTTACAGCTTTATAACTAGACGATATCCCTTGAAATGTGAAAAGGAAGCTATCGTGGTGGGTTTTGTCTTCCAATCAAAAGGAGGGCTTCAACTTCCCCAAGGGATCAATCACTGGGTAAAAACCAAGAGGTGAAAGACAACAACAACAACAACAAAACGCCTCTTAAGAATCCAGATGTTCTGCTGTAGAATGCAATCTGGGTTTGTTTCCTAGATGGATGAGCATTAGAAGCAATTTGGCTCCTGTCCTTGCCCATGCAGAAGGCAGATATCTAGACACGGGATTAAAGAAACTTAATCCTGGGTAATTTTCGATTTGGAAATCCATTTTTAACCTCATAATAAGGGTCACCAAATAAAGTTTCTGTCTTTAGTTGACATTAGGCCTATCTACACAAGCTCACCTTTGCCCTCCACATTAGCCATAATTTGAAAACATCAACGTGGCGTCCGCACTGTAAGGCCTTGTCCCCAGTGTCGTAGGACAGGTCGTAGTGTTTATCTTGCTGGAAGAGGTAGGAGGCATGCATCTGGTTACAACTCTGCATCAATCCCTAGAAGAGAAGAGAAAACTTAGGAAACTCTACTGACTTGATCAAGTACTCTGTTAGATTTACATTGTGGTGAAAATTATTAAGAAAAAAAAATTTTAAAGGGACACCAAGTTTCCCGGAGAAAGAAAGCAGGAAGAATCAAATGTTTAAGATGGGCCAAGGGGCGCCTGGGTGGCTCAGTTGGTTAAGTGTCTGACTCTTGATTTCAGCTCAGGTTGTGATCTCAGGGTCGTGAGAACGAGCCCTGCGTCGGGCTCCACATAGAGCCTGCTTCAGATTCTCTCCTTCTGCCCCTCCCTACCACTGTTTGCGTGCTTGTACATATGTGTGCACTCTCTCTCTCTCTCTCCCTCTCTCTAAAAAAGTGAAAAATAAAATAAAATGGGACCAATATCTGGACAGTATGAGCTGTGGGGATAGGTCAGTTCTGTGGGATAAATGGCTCAGGGTCAAATGTAACTACAGGTTAGCAACAGGGGCATATATGCTTTAACTCTTTAAGAGAATGTGTCTCTTTAGAAACAATCATAATCAGAATATAATGTTTGTTCTTTGAGGGAACATCCTGCTGTTTTAATTTTGTTGTAATTAAAATACTTTAGAAACTCTTTGGTTCTGTAAAATACTAATAGTGAGATTATTCTAGTGTTTCATTCATACTTAGTTCAAGTACTTTATCATTTGGCTGTTAGGGTTTGAGTCCTCTTTGGAAGTCATAGCTTTTAAGATAGTTTATTGTTATTTTTATATGCTGAAATCTAAAACAATAAAGACATTGTTATTCTGAGAGGTCTTAAATAACCAATCTTTCAAATGCCATGTTCCCCTTTCAAGAGGGGTTAGTACTGCATTTTTATACTTGGCTGCTTGTTTCATTGGGACGTTTCATTGCCAATGATCATTAATTTGCCCCATCACCAGGAGCTTGGTATGGAAAATGGGTGGCAAAGTGACTGAACGATTCCAAAGAACAGTGAATGAATCATGCTCTCTGACTAAAACAGCATTGTCCGTCTCCTCACCAGAAACCCCACCACGTTTCAATTTGTCACGAACCACAGGAAGCCTTTGACTCTTTCATTATCTACAGTATAATTGTGATTTTACAGAAGCTTTGACATTTGTTGTTCTTTTTTCCTTGTGACTCATGACAAGAGAAGAGAGAAGCCTAAAACGTGGTCACCAAGTTGAAGTTAGAAGTGAGAATTCTTTAAAAAAAAAATGTATCAAATGAAAGCAAACTGTAATGCAACTAAAATTTAACTGGGTCCTAAAAGACCATATGGTAGGCAATGAAGCTGAGCTCAACCCTATAGTTTGGGCTTCATTTGCAGTTGAATTCATTGAGATTCAGGGAAATTAAATAACTGTAATAGAGTAGTAGGATGACTTTGGATTTGAAAAAGAAAATTCACTCAAAGACCAATAAGATTGAAAATTGCAACAGGTGCTTCAATTTTGTTTCATGGTCACAGAAGCTTGGCATGTAAGCTTGCCCACAAAAAGGTGCCACAGTCGTAGGGAGATCACCCCAGAGTCTGGAATGGTGGATAGAGTGGACCTGGGATAGGAAAAGCAACTCAAAACACAGGACCTCCCAAAGGCTGGCCGGCATCAGTCTCACTATACAAAAGGATAAATAAAAGTCATATTTTTCACATAAAGGGCCTTGATGAGATAATAAATACTCTGATTCCAAGCCATTAAAAAGTTATAGACCGTTATGTGGCCAACGATTTTAAGTACACTAATAATTGCTGTGAACCTCATATAGTTGCTGTAAAAGAAATTCCCAGGGTCAAATAAATTTAGGAAACTCTACATCATAAATCCCTTCTTCAAAGGTAGTTGCAATATATATCAGCATATTAAAGGCTCTGATATGCCCTGAAGTAACAAAACTTCCTTTTAACTCTTCAATCTAAAATAACCTAGGATTTTTTTAAACCCGGAACTCTCTTATCACAGAATACTTAATACAGTCTTATACAATGGCATTATTCCTTATATCTCAATAAGGGACATGCCGTCAGAGTATCATAAACTCTTGGATTTGGAAGGGATCCTAGAGCTTTTATTTTATTCCTTCTCAACGAAGGAATCTTTTCTATCTTCTTACTAATAAGTGGCTGTCCAATCTCCAATCACTTCCCCTGGCAGTGAATTTATTTCATTACCCAGATTCATTACCTCTGGGGAAGCTTAATTTTTAGAAAAGCTTTCCTTTCATTGACCGGAAGTCAGACCTAAAATCATAGCATATTCTGATTCAAACCCAGTGCTACTGTGCCCGTTCCCTGAAGCTGCAAGGAAAAAATGAATCTCTTCCACTTGAGAGTCACTTAAACTGTGAAGGCTGCCATCCTCCAGCCCTTCAAGTTTCTTTTTCTTTTTAAATTAAACATCCTTAGTTATTTCAACCATCCCTCTCACATGCTCACCAATTGTTCCCCACTGTTTGAACCCTAGCTTGTTGGGGTCCCATATGCAATTTGGCATTGACCTAAGCAACCACTCCAGGCATGGAGGACAGTGGGAGACTACGACCTTCCTCATTCTGAAACTCTTTTTTTTTTTAACCCATTAGTATTTTATGAATGCTAAGTTTCTCTTGACTCATTGTGGACCCTGCTGAGTACAACCTAATGTTCTATGCCTTTTTTAGAAGTACAATTTAGCTAAATCCATATATCTATGGCTAATTGATTTTCAACAAGGGTGCCAAGACCATTCAATGGAGAAAGAGTAGTCTCTTCAATAAATGGTAGTGGGGGAACTGGATATCGCATGCAAACTCATACCTCACACCGTACATAAACATTAACTCAGAATGGTTCAAAGACCTAAATTTAAGAGATAAATTTAGCTGTGTTTTCTTAGAAATGTTGGCAAGGATGTAGAGTAAGTTGGAACTCTCATGCACGCTGGTGGGACAGTAAAATGTTTCAGCCACTTTGGCAGTTCCTCAGTAAGGTAAATATAGAATTACCATATGATTTAGCAGCTCCATTCCTCCATTGAAAACAGTTCCCTCATTTGAAAACAGATAGTCAAACAAATAATCGTACACAAATGCTCAGAGCAGCTCTATTCATAACAGCCAGAAAGCAGAATTAACCCAAATGTCCACTGAAGGATGAATGGATAAACAAACTGTGGTACATTCATACAATGGAATATTGTTCAGCCACAGAAGGAATGAAATTTTGGTACATGCTATGACATAAATGAACCTTGCAAACATTATGCTAAATAAAGTAAGCCAGACACACACACGCATAATTTAGCCATGTAAGAAACATGCTTGTCTTGTCAACTCAAAATAGAATCATCCTCTACATGGAAATAAGAGCAGGACTTCATAATTATCCTCATGAACGATTTCTTCTTTTTGGATATGGCTCACTGTTCTAGGCTGTGAATCATCCTTCATTCTGATTCCATCACTACACACATTTACTCTACCAAACTCTACTGATGGACTGGGCCATGAATCAGGAAAGACGTACCTCTTCTCTGACCAGGAGAGCGGAGCACTGCAAAGGGACGCCCATCATCTTGTGTGGGTTCCATGTCACAGAGTTGGCCCTAAAGGAAAGAAATGGAGTTAAGAGGGTGGCACCTATGACAGGCTCAGGCTACAAGGTCTTGTGCCGGGCCAACAGAGCTTTGAGGTTCTTAGCATTGTTTCTCAGACTCCTGGATGACACTAAGTTTACAACATAAGATGTGGACTCTTAAACCTACAACCTTTTTTTTGTCTACAGAGAGAGTAGGCGAGGATGGGCATCTTCATGCGGCTCCCCCTTAGCTTCCATGGAGGAATTCAGCCAGCCTCCATGTGATCTGAGAGTCCCTTTGAGTGACTGGGATCATCCAGTCCAGCATCCCGCCTTTGGCGGCCAAGGAGGAGGGCACCAAGCAGGTGAAGGGGCTGTCCTCACGTGCCTCTATTGTTCCTGGAGGCATTACCATAGTGGCCTGGGGTGTAAAGCGATGGCTTATTTCACTGCTTAGTTTTGTTCTTCTCACCCATCTCTCCTTCTTCCTCTTCAATTGATTATTACATTTTTCATATCTGTCCTTTCATAATAGCTTCTAGTTCATCCCATTTTCATCTCTTCTCTGACCCAGACACGTCCTTCTAGACCACAGGTGGGATATGCTATGGTTCCTATAGCAGTTTTCAATCTATTTTGTCCCAACACACTTGAGAAATACAATGCTCTCCTATCAGTAATAGATATTGTCAGGGATTTATGCTATTTGAAAAGTCTAAACCATAATTCTGGGTCAGATTCTTATAATAATAATAATAATAATAATAATAATAATAATAATAATGCCATCAAGGGCAAGCACAGGCCATGTATTCAGTCTTATGTCCTTGCTCTATCCCATACCCATTTTCATTTTTCATGACACCATTTTCATCACACCAGATTATTATTATTTTTTTTTAAAGATTTTATTTGACACAGAGAGAGAGACAGCGAGAGAGGGAACACAAGCAGGGGGAGTGGGAGAGTGAGAAGTAGGCTTCCTGCAGAGTAGGGAGCCCGATGTGGGGCTCGATCCCAGGACCCTGGGATCATGACCTGAACTGAAGGCAGACGCTTAACGACTGAGCCACCCAGGTGCCCCACACCAGATTATTTTTTATTCTCAGAAAATTCTATTCTCATGCTCCTGGGTCTCTTAATGTTATTTCTTCTTCCTGGAATGTCATCTCTCTTTGCTCCACTTGGCTAAATCTTACTTATTCTTTAAGTCCCAGATCAAGTGTTATTTTCTCTGCAGACTTCTTCAACTTCATTCAACTTCTCTCTCTCACTCCCGCTGAACTGCTCCAACCAGCTCCTCCTTTGGCTCCCAGGGAAAGCAAGTGTCCCCTCCATGAGTGAGTTCCCATCGCTCACTTCACGGGTTTATCAGGCAAGGTGAGCCCCTGTGCATGTCTTCTGAGAGCCTAAGGGGTCCTTGGGGATGAGAATCATGAATGTGACCTTGGTATAAATAGACTCACAGGAGGAGGGAAAGTAGAGCTACCCATGGCAGCTGGCTCCAGAGTCCTGCAGATCGCTGGCCCTCCTCTGGCTGAACAACAGACTTGGGCTCACCTGCTCCCAGCACTCGAGTTGCTTCCCAAGCCCAAGAACCTTGGGAAGAAATGAGAAGCTGGGAAACATCCCATTCTTCTATCTGATGAGTGGTGGGCATCAGTTGGCCAGTCAGAGAAGGTTTTCTGGCCTGCGGATCTCATCTGAATCAGTAAATAGGCCAGCTCATCTTCTGATACACAGTAAGCATTAAACAAGTTTGGCTCCTACTATTGATTTCAATTCTATCATTTACACACTGTGGAACTTTGAGCACATATACACTGCTTCTAGAATATTCTACAGCTCCATGCCTAATCCTGATGAAACTCAGCTTTGTCGGTAATGACACTTGATGAAGGAGAGAATAACTGTTCATTTCTCTGACTGGAGGTGTTTGTTTCGATGCTGTGGCCAACTTGTCTAAATTTTTAGAGTAGATGCTGTCGAGGCCCACGACTACCCGTCACTGAGTTCCTTGTCCTGCCTCTCTCGCAGAAGGGCTGCCTCATAAAGATGGCAAAAAGCTGCACAGAGTGATTCAATGACATGCCCTTAGTTTGTTTGAGAAATGTTGGCAATTTATGAAAAACAGCCTCAGGTTCATTTCAAAATCTTTTGCTCTGAGGTTCAGTCATGAACCTTCTGTGATTTATTTTAAGTTAGAGAAAACTGACTCCCTGAGGGCTGTTTTAAGATATGTCCTTATGCCCTCACTTGTACCTCAAACTCAGCAGACCCCACATGAACTCATTAACGTGCCCCTCCTCATCCTTCCAGATCTGTTCTTTCACGTGTGTTCTGTGCCTCAGTGCCTCACACTGTCCTCCTCCCGCACATCTAGCTCTCAAACCTCAGGTGTTAGTATCATTGTCTTCTTTCTGCTCTCCCGATATCACCCCTTGCAGCTCTAGCTTTTTTTTAAAACTTTGTATGAAGTGCTTTATTCTGTGGTACTTGGTGCTTGTAACTTTTGAGGAAGATGCTTCCTAGAGTACAATAAGCTAATGCTAGCTTGGTCAAAGATATCTACAAAAAAATGTCCCCCGTACTTTTCAACATATTATATAAGACTGTAAAGTCTGTCAAGGCAGAGAGTGTGGAATTTCTTAAAGTATTGGAAAATAAGGCAAAAGAAAGTGTTATATACAAAGAGTGTTTAAGCATTCTGTAATATACAGTGGTCTTCATGTAATTAGAGCATGACTTATCTATATATATACACAAAGTTTTTCAGAAGCAAGGGAAGTCAACAGAAGCACTGGTTCTTTAAATTACATGTGGTCCCGTAGACAAGCAGGTCTCTGTGGTGGTTTGTCCTGTTGCATGGAAGCCACATGGCTGGGTTCATCCACTTATTTCCCTCCCAGCCGCTACCGCCCGGGTTTTCACCCTTAGCTTCTGCCATCACTGCTACCCCTCACCTGGACATTCTCGAGAGCTCAGTGGCTTCTACTGGGTCCCTGGCCTCCATCTCTTCCCAAATCCAGAGCTGTCTCTCCAAAGGGCAGGTGAGATCATATGACTCGTCTCCTCACTGCCCCCCTGCCCCCTCCCCATGGCTGCTAATGCAGGGGCTTTCACCCCCCCTCCCAATCTGAGAAATATAATGCTCTCCATGCAAAATAATGGCTCTGAGAGCAGGGATTCTCAGCTCAGGGATTTATGTTGATCCTGACTTGGTCCTGTGGGCAGGCCCTCCACTGAGACTCCCCGGGCAGGACTTGTGGACACTCCACGAGCTCCCTACTCACTGCCGTGAGTCCCTCTCAGTCTCCATCCAAACTTATCTGGACTTCCTCCAAGGACCCTTTCAAACCTCCGTGCCCTTGCTCTTCACCTTGAATGTCCATCTTCCACTTCCGCCTGACACAGCCCCAATGCCCACCCCTGCGCGAAGGCTTCCGTGAATAACCCCGTTTAGCAGGAATCATCCCTTTCTCTGCGCTTGCCAGTCAGCTCTCTTGTCTGTCTCTTGAGCCTTTACTTTCTCTGCCTTGAAGTTTAACCCATCATTGACTGCCACTCTTCCCTACCAGATTCTAAGCCCTTTGAAAATAGGCTTCACACCATATTCGTCTTTGTGCCCTCACTGGGCCTGGTGCTGCGCCTTGCATATGGCAGAGGTTCAGTCACTACTGAGCTGAATTTCTAAACCGCCGGCTCTCGGGACAGGAGTGCGGGCAGTGATTGGTAACATGGCAGAAGCAGGGCCAGGACCTTCAGCCGGGCCCGAAAGCCTTGAGAGGGGGCCACCGCAAAGGGAGATTACAGGCAAACAGCAGCCTGCTGTGGGAGGGATTAAAGAAGACAGTTTACAATGCCCAGAAGCGTACTTGGGAGCGTTAGGGCTCTGGGCACACCCTCTCAGCTACGCCGTCTCTAGAAAATTTGACAGCATTAGCAAGAAGAACGCTGCTTTTTGAGAGTTTGGTAGGTACTCAAAGGGAGTGCCAGGTAGGCTCTGGTGACTTGTGCCATTTTGTTGTGAAGAGGGCACTCTGGGGACCCTGTGACCACGGGGAAACCTCTTGATCTGGGGACAAGAATTGACCATGGATTTCCTCTGTTTTAGAGTGAATCCTTGGGAACACGTGTGCCCCCAAGTGGGGCAAATTTTTGTCCCTAAACTTATGTCCATGCCCATTATGCCCAGGGGTTTCCACTGGCTCTATGAGCTTATTCACCAAAGACGATGTGCCTTTTGCTAATAAGTCAGCAAGACGGATACTCTCGGGTACAGAGGTGGCAGTCCCTCTTTTTTGGGGACTTCATCTTTGGCTCTTCCACTTTATAGATTTAGGTACAATACGGTTTCAGAACTGCGGCAATTGGAGGAGACTATGTTCCACGGTGAATGTTCTAAGTTTTGCTCTGAAATAACAGTCTTTAGTACAAAAGTGTGTGGGTGTTTATTTTTCCAAGGCTCAGGGTAGGTAATTTAGTGAGCTTTTAAGTCATCACTGGTAGAGGACGCTCCCTGGCTTTTGGCAATCGGAGTCCCAGATGGCATTAAAAGTACAATAATAGACACTTACATTTTGTGCCAGTCAGAAAGAAACTAAAGAAGAGAAGGTACTGTGTACAGGCCGCCTCTCTCTTGAAAGCACGAGAATTCGTTCTTGTTCTGATCATCCAAGCAGGCACCTTCCAAGCCGTTCTTTTTTTTTTTTTTTCCCCATCATCTCTCCCTGTGTAGTGCATTGCCTTCTCCTTAAGCGTCTGGTTCCATAGAGATCTTCCCAGCAAAAAGGAATTGGGCATGGGAGAAGCCCCAGAGGACTGGAGCTAAGTGGGAACCTGTCATCAGAGCCCGGGCGGCGATACCCGCCAGCCGCTGACCCCAGCCGGCAGACTCACGGACGGCTACCCTGCTGACTTGGGCCTCAGCGGGTCTCTTGAGTCTTCCACAAATGAGGCAGTGTGCCCCTGACTCTGCCTCTGTGATCCGTGCCCCTCGGGTTCTCTGTGTGTGAGCGGGCCTGGGCATCACGGAGCACGCCGGGGGCATCCTTCTTGGCTTGGCCCCATAGCCAACGCCGACAGATGCTCCCACGCTCCATCGGCCTCACTCCTCATCCCGGAGCAGAAACTGTGCCAAGATATCTGGAGGCAAAGCCAGTGGGAGACTCTTCCTGGGCAGCATCTGGCTACTGGGCAGGGCATGGTGGGCCCTTGGCAGCCTCAGACCAACTCAGGCTTTCTCAGTTAGTTGCCTGGTGTATCAGAGCTCACCTCTGCTGTTGACCTGCCATGGTGTAATGGGAGAATGGGGACGCTGAGCTTCCTCTGTGCACAGTCAGCAAAGCCCGAGGCTGATTTTGCATTCTATAATTTTTTCCCCCTTTTTTCTTCAGACCTGAATATGTTTTATGCTAATCAAATATCACCTCCTTTGGGTTTGGAGGCTTTTCTCAACCATCTACTGCTTAGTCACTGAAAAAAAAAGGTGCTTTGCTGCATCCATCAGAGCTATGTAAAAAAAGAAAGTTATCATGGGAATGAAACCATGAGATGAGGTTCTCACAAGTATGTCTTGCTTTCAGCTGGCCGTATTAAACCTCAAACCCATGCTTTCAACACTGATAAATTACAAGGTGCAAAGTTATTTGTTGGTTTGCTTATAGTAGTGGATATTATCCTTTTGTGGAATATGAAAGCTACAGATCTTCTCCCTAGAAAATTATGACCTGTCAACAGGTTTTAAATAATTTGGGTAGTTGGTTCAGAGATTGTAGGAAGGTCATTGCTGAGCCCTCTGGTCAACCACGGACTCCAGTTAGGAATCTCTATTTATTTGAGAAACATTCTGCCTGGGCTACCGGATAGAGGATTTGATGTCTTTTTGTTATTTACATGTAATGTTCATGGGTCTATGACCACACAGATCAAGGCACACAAACACCGCAGAGAATGGGTTCACCTGTGTCTCAAGGGTGTTTGGAAATTGTATGTAACTTGCTTTTCACATTTAGCTTTCACACTTTACATCGTTAGCAAGAAAAGTGGGTGTACCTCTCCACGCCGCTCAGTTTCCATTTGTGCTTCTGGGACATCAGTAATCCCCCACCCCAAGCTGCCTGCAAAAGGAAGATCATATAAGGAACAGGGTAACAGGTCTTTCATTGCCTAGAGTTCTAAAGTTTGGTGTCTTCCAGAATAGCGAGAGTCTCGTGGGGTGAAAGTCATCTCCTCAGGCTCAGGCGACAGGGGGCTGGTCACCTTCTGGCACTAGACTTTCAAAGTTTAAATTGGAAGCTATTCTAAGGTTTCAGGTTCCATCCCACATTTAGACTAGTGTAAGGAGCCAAACTGGGGGCACATTTCTTGTGTCTGCACAAAGGAAAGATCCTTTCCCCCAACGCATCACCACCACTCATAGTCCTAGTAAAGCTCGTGATCTCAGAACAAGAAACCCTGTTGTCTGCCCTGTTGGAAGTACAGAGGATGGGCTAGGGGACTCATTAAGCAGCTTCTGAATTGTAAGGAAAACTCCTTTGGCAAGTCTGGATGATTCCAGAAGGAAGAAGCAGCTTCATAATCCTATTTCACTAATATGTATTTTAGGATAAGATAATTTCCCTGTCAAGAAAAAAGGGAAAGAAAGAAAGAAAGAGGAAAACAAGCAGGAAGAATTTGTGCCAGTTTGTTGAGCGACTAGAACATGCCTCTTAAAAACTCGTACTCAAGATTGAAGATTTGAATTAGTGTAGTGATGCAGTCATCTCCTTTAAAAAGAAGATGTTAAGATGGAGATTCATTGGAAAATGTTGGCATTCTTTGTGGGTAAAAATAATCCTAGGATAATTTTAAAGAAAAAAAAAACCTGTTAGGGTATAATTGCCTTTTTTTTTAGTTTGTTGTAATTTCAGTTTTTTTACACTTTGAAAAATTATCCGATTTTCCAAATGTGTAATATTTTAAGATTTTCTCTAATTTAATTATAAAGAGTATAAACATTTAAGATAATAAGTGATACACTTGGTAAGTTTCAAAGAAAACAAATACAATTGGTTAAAAGATCTCCCTGCTCTGTTTTAAGTAGAAATCCTAGAGGAGAGACCGTAGCACCTGCTGGCTCAGGACGCACAGACACTGTTATTTTTAAAGTTGTCAGGATAATCCTCTTCCGGTTTCAGCTAACAAGCTTTAATAGGCTCTCCAGCTCCGAGACCCAGGTCATGATGGTACTTGAATTGTTCAACTTAGTGTCTTCATTTGTAAAACAGATGGGGTCTCTGGTAGCCTAATGAACAACTCACACTGTGAATCAGGGAAGGAAAAGAAGACTGGTAACCACTATGCAGGGTAACACTGGGATCATGGAAATCTACCTGGTTCAGCCTTAGTAATAGTGGATTAGTAACTAACAGTTTGTAGATAACAGCTGATCTTTGAACCGCACTTTGAGTAATACTGGCCTATGCTTAAATTTCTTCACTTTGTCCTTCTAAATCTTGACTTTTTTTTTTTTTTTTTTCATTTGAAAATGTTTTGGTGGGCACATCTTCATTTTAGTGCGACTAGGTCTGGAGTCAAAAACATTTGAACTATAATTTATCTTCTTAGCTGGCCCAGCTAAGAAATTGGAAATTTGGTGGCCCATACTTCCTAGCAAGCTGCCAGAGTGTGCTCTCCTCTCCAAATATACAAATACCTGACTTGAGCTTGAGGGTTTTGTTTTTCTGTGTTTTTTTGTTTGTTTGTTTTTTTATCCTCTGGGTTTCCTATGTAAATGTAACTCTTTTTTGCCTTTTTGATCATTCTCCTAGGGAAGTACAACCTGCATGTGTGTAGGCTACATTCCTCCAAGGACGTTATAGGCTGATGAATCAAGAGCTAAGTGCTCAGCTTGGGTACTGGTCATAGAAATAATTTGAATATTATCATGTTGGGGACATTAAGGCAGGTCAGCCTCTGACTTCCTCCAGTCAATGTTGGGTACTGGGTGAGTTGTGGGCTACTTTGTCTCTGCACTCTTCAAAAGCTTAAATCTCCCCATTCTGAAAATAGGCTCCCAAAGGAAAAAAAAAGAGAGAGGGAGAGAGAACATTTCATTCCATGAGCCCCAAATGAATAAATGTGCAAGGATATTTTAGTGGCCGTCCCTATGGGATACTCACATCCACATGCATCCAGATCTTGTACTTTTTGCAAATGTCAGCAACTGCCAAGAGGGGGTCAAATGCTCCATACACGGTGGTCCCAGCTGTGGCGCTCACAAGGAAAGGAACAAATCCCTACACAAACGAGAAAGCCCCAGATAATGTCAAACAGGGCGTCACAGATTTTTTTTTTTTTTTTTTGAGCTGATAAAAACAGTGGATATTCTCCCTCTGTCATACACTTCTCCAGTTTTGGAACCATCAAAGGGAGTGTTGACCCCTTGGAGCCTGGGAAGGTATTCACTCTCCAGGATCTGAGTTCTCCAGGACATTCTGTTGGACCTGCCATTTGCCTTAGGAGAACAGACACTTGGTTCTCAGGAGAGGCCACACTGCACCCAGAGGTGAGGAAGTTTTATGGTGCCCCCAAGCCATTTATATATTCCAGGTAGATATTCTACCCCACTTTGTTCACTCTCTAGTCTTCCTTTTTGCTCACGTTCCAGTCTTCCTTTTACATAACAGTCCCCTAGATTGAGCAGGCAAAAGAACAAAGAAGGAAATACAACCGGCCCATTATTCCTATTTAGAAAATCCTGAGATCATTTATTTGGTGTCTTAGAGGGAAGGGTTCATGTGGGATTAGACAATAAGCCATGACCGTTATCTGTCTAAGTAGTCCTCAGTCTGCCTGGCGCTGGCTAAATGAAAATTGCTGGAAGGTAGAAAGAAGAATGCCTCGAACAGAATGAACAGAGCCATGATGTGACAGGCTGTCAGAGTCCGTCTTTAGGTGGCAGCAAAGGTTTAATCTTGGGGTTTATGCTACTAGAAGTAGTTGGAGCACAGGAACAAGGGGAACCTCCTGCTGCCACTTTGCAGAAAAATAGAAAAGGCAGAAGAAAAGAAATAATGTTTTCCTAAATTGATAATAATAAAACGCACCCGTTCTTCTCGTTGAACTAGGAACCGTGGGTCCTATCCACTAAAAGTTACACTAAGGGAGTTCTACAAACCAGCTCTCTGGTTTGTGGGGTTAGAAATGACTTTCTAGGGGCGCCTGGGTGGCTCAGTCGTTAGGCGTCTGCCTTCGGTGCAGGTCATGATCCCAGTGTCCTGGGATCGAGCCCCGCGTCGGGCTCCCTGCTCAGCGGGAAGCCTGCCTCTCCCTCTCCCACTCCCCCTGCTTGTGTTCCCTCTCTCGCTGTGTCTCTCTCTGTCAAATAAATAAATAAAATCTTTAAAAAAAAAAAAAAAAAGAAATGACTTTCTAGAGCTTTGTGGGAATCTGTTGCTGGTCTCCAGAACTTGCTGCTTCTAAGACTTCTAAATTGCATGCCAAAGAAGAAGATGCTTGGAGAGCCAATCATAACCATATTCCTAGGCGGGAAAAATTGGCCCCTTTCAAGTAACCACACCACAGTAACTCATGCTGCATTGGTGTTGTGATATTTTCCACTTGTGAAAATGATCTTTCAACTGTATGTCTGTTTCATGCCAACTCTTAGCACATAGTAAAGCTTTAGAAATTCCTCCAACATCACCGTGTATATTATCACAGTGTGTATTATTTAAACAGCAATTTAGATCTTTCCAAAGCAGAGGCTACAACTCAGAGAAATAAATAATGACTGGGTGCAAAAATCCCATATTCTCAGTAAAGCTGGGAGGTTGAGAACTGGGTCTTCTTTTCAAAACAAAACCAAGGTGGCGGCACCTGGGTGGCTAAGTGTCTGACTCTTGATTGTGGTTCAGATCATGATCTCAGGGTTGTGAGATCGAGCCCTGTGTTGGGCTCTGCACTGGGCGTGGAGCTTGCTTGGGATTCTCCCTCTCCCTTTCCCTATGCCCCCCAACATCCCCCCCAAACAAACAAAAAAACCAAAACTAAAGTGTGTTCTCCACTGGATGGAAACAGAAATATGTACCCTTCGCTTGTTATGGGTTGAATAAAGCTCCCTACAAAAACTTACTTTTTGTTTGGCTTCAAGGATCCTTCTTTCAAGATCAGATGGGATCATTTTCCCCCTGAAAGGAAAAATACACACATTATAGGTTTGCTTCAAATAGTTTACTTTGTTGTCTTTACAAGCAGCCATATCAGGGTAAAAGTTCAACCCTACACAGTGGATAATCATGATCAGTTAAAACAACTCGATGCCTGTTTCCAGGAAGAAATGCAGTTCCTCCCTGAAGGATGCAGGATATAATTTCTGACACATTGAGGAGACTCCTGAGCACACTGTGCTGTTAGAACAGGCACATGTCACTCCATGCCGCACAGAACCCACTTTTTGGGTCATCCTCTTAACTCGGTTAAAACAAGCCTGCTTTGGCGCGAGCCACTTGGCAATGAAAAGTGAGTGCAGAAAAGAGATCTGTGTTCCCAATCTTCAAATGAAGGGAGCTGCAATTTCACATATAGATGACATGCCAAGAAGAGAAATCCATTCTGAAACAATTGAATGAAAATATTAAATAAAAAAATACCTAATTACATTCTAAGTGCTAAAAGCATAAAGCTGGCCAGGAAAACATGGGCTCAAATTTCAAATATTTAGATACATGGACTTTGGAAAAAGAAACATCCTTTCTTTCCTTCCTGAAATGTTTCTTTCCTAAAATAAAAACACAGATAGTGCTTTGCTAATTACAAAACCGCATTATTATAATAGTCAAAGGAGTTGATTTCGACAAGAAGCTGGATGTAGCTAGATGTGTCATCTTAGTCAAATGACTTGATTTCTCTGTGCCTCTCATTACTGTCCCTGGAACAGAGTGATAGTAATATTACTTATGGAGTTATGAGGTTTAAATGAGTTAATAAATGCAAAATTATTTAAAAAGTGCTCGGCATGTGGGAAGCATTTCATAAATGTTAACTTGTATTGTTGAGATTGTTATGTATTATGACATCCTTCTCCCAAGACTTTGGGGGAAAAAATAGGGAAAGGACAGAGTAGTTGCATGGTGCCAGAAGTAGTAAAAAATTCTTTAAGCCAAAATAGCTCTCTTGAGGTTGCTAAACTGGCTTAACTTTTCACATCGGGGTCATCAATCTAGGTTTTTAAAAGGCAATTTGGAAAAATAAATTATGGGCAGGAGGTTGTCACAATAAATGGCTGGGAAACCCTATTGGCGTTTAGGGAGCAGTGAGTTGGGGGGGGTTGGTATTTGTTGCTAGGTCGATAATCCATTCCTGGCTGTCCCTGTGACTTGAGGCACTTCATTACATCTTCTAAGCTTTACATACTGAAATATGTTATTTTATTATAAGTTACTTTCCTAACACCCATTTTATAAAAAATAATTTGGGCATTATGTAGTTAAGTTTTATTTTCTGCGATTTTCATCTCAGGCTCATAAAGGAAGCAGTGCAAACTAGTTGGCATAAAAAGCAGGCATTAGGCCTGAACGCCTTAAGAACCACTAATTTATGTGAAGCTGTTTTCCAAAGGAAGGCAGTTAAAATGCAATTATCTGGCAACAATCATAGACAAGTTACCAGTGATTAGTCAGGCTGGGTTGGAACAAAAGACAGTGAACGTACATTTGGTGCTGAGGGTACAATTCCGGGTCAGAGCCCCCACCTCTGGGGAACTTGGGTGAGATGGGGCTTCTGAAGGAGGGACAGAGGGAACGGAAAGCAGGGGGTGAGGCGGGGACAAGGAGCTCACTCCCTACATCTCTCCCTACACTTCACAGCTCAGCTGGGGTAAGGGGGGGGGGCATCCCACGAAGCAGTGATTTTCCATCTCTCTAGATCAGGCTATGCTCAAACACCTTGCTTCAGCACTGATAGAAACAAAAATTTGTGCAGATTCAGAATAAATTTGGGTATCATAGTTGTCTTTTACATAGTTTTCAGCACATTAAAGTTGCCATTGTATTTTTCTAGGTAAACATGGAAACTGAGAAAGAATTCTCAGAAACAGTTTGCAAATCCCAAATTTTCCCTAGTCTTCCACATACCAAAGGAGAGTAAAAGACTTTCCTCTCCTTTGGAGAGTTTTGGTTGGACAAGTTTGACAGCTGTGATTCACTTGTCTAATCACACCTGGATGTTAAGCATGAGGCAGTAAGGTGTCACCAAGAAGTCACAGATTAGGGTACATTATAATTGGAAGGGGCTGAAGACCTGTTTCTAGTCTAATTGTCTCATTTTTCAAATGAGGAAGCAGGCCAGGAGAAGCGAAGTGACTGCCCAAGATCAAATGTTGGCAAAAGGTTGATTGTAACTGGAAATAAAACACTAAACTTCCTCGAAAGGCCAAACAGATAGGAAACCTATTTAGGAAGACTGGAGTCTTTTACGATAAGATAGATCCTTGCAGATAATATCTGACTTTCCTGGATCAGAGGTGTCATTCAAGCATGCTGAGAAAGCAGTAATGAACAGTGTGTTGCATTTCTCGATCGGAGTTTTGGGGCGGGCTCGTCAAATAACCCAGTTCAGGCAGAAAGTGATGGTTGTGGCTCTTGACTGGGCAGGTTGCAGCCTTTCTTAGGCCCTCTGCCTAAGATACCTGTTTTATCCACTTAGGGACCCAGAACCTGAAGGTGGCCGATCAACATTTGTTGGAGGTATGTGAGCAGAACAGAGAAGTTTAACTCACAGATGATATAGTATCGGGGCCTCTGGAGACAAAACTTTTCATCTTTCTGTTTATCTTAGAATTCGCTGAATTACTTTAGAACAATGGTTCTTAAAATTTAGTGTGCATAAAAAAATCACTTGTGTGTGCCTTTAAAATGCAGATTTCTCGGCCCCGCTCTTAGGGATTTTGATTCAGGAGGTCGATTATGGGGCCTGGGAATTAATTTCTTCCACAAAGATGTATTGAGCGCTTACTCTCGATGTGTCACACACTGTAGGGGGTACTGGGGTACCGGGGGAAACAGACCAGTTTCTACTCTTCAGGGCTTCCATGCTAACAAGAGAAACAAATAATCACACAGGAAAATAGATAAGACATGCACAGGAATCTGCATTTCTAACAAACACCCCAGATAATTCTGATCTGGATGCACATGTTGGGAAACACTGCTTTAGAAATGGAAATTTTAGCCTGGTAGGCATTTAAACAATCGTGTGACAGACTAGCCAAGTACCATTCATATGACCCATGGTTTTGAGCCATCATGGCTGTAGGGCGGGGAGCAGAAGGAGCTCCAGATATGGATCCTGCATCCCCTGCTGGTCTATGTGCTGTGGGATGAGAGAACATCTGGGTGACAACCAGCAGGGTCCTCTGAGGACTGGAAGCTGTCTGGCCAGGCCTGGATTTTCCAGACAAACACCTCTTGGTGCAGAGACTTTGGATGGCAGCTGTCGCATTCTGTAGGTCTGGCCTCAAAGTATCTCCATAGCAAAAAATGTATGTCTTTAATGTTTACACGTCCCTGCCTTTAAGGACACAATTAAGTAGTGACTGATGCTTTTAATGCTGGTCTCTGGTAGCTGTTCATGTTTACGAAAGGGCTGCCATTGAAGTGGGGATTGTTGAATCAGATTGCTGCTTTGGATGTGGCTGCCTTGTGTTGAGATTCCTGATTTTGCAACAGTCTTTATTTACTTATTTATTTATTTATTTATTTATTTATTTATTTATTTATTTAAGAGAGAGAGACACAGTGAGAGAGGGAACACAAGCAGGGGGAGTGGGAGAGGGAGAAGCAGGTTTCCCGCGGAGCAGGGAGCCTGACGCGGGGCTCGATCCCAGGACCCTGGGATCATGACCTGAGCCGAAGGCAGACGCTTGACGACTGAGCCACCCAGGCGCCCCGACAGTCTTTAAAAATTTATATAATTCTATAGGGTCAGATAACTTCACAAAATTTCCTGGGCAAAATCCCACAATGGCAGCTAGAGCTGCCAGCAGGAAAATCTCCTCTTTGTGGGAAGAAGCTAAAGACACAGTGGATTTTGGGCCCAGATTCATGAAGGAGAAAGCGAGCTTACCAACAAGAGAATGTTTCCTAGAGAGTTTATACCTCTAGGCAGGCATCCAAATGGTCACAAAGCAGGTGCCTGAGTCACTGGTGACCCTGCTCATTGGCCCTGATGAAACTGTAGGAAATCTACCAGCTTTTCTTAAGTGAGTAGAGCTTGTCTCTGTTCGCAGAGATAGATGTGCAAGGAAGATTGGATGTGTGACTCCTTCCTGTTAGAAACTGATTGACATGAGAATCATTGCTAAGAGCAACAGTGCTGGCAGTGATAATGAATCGCCAGCTTCAGAAGCACTCCACGATCTCTGAGCCTCCTGCCAACTCTACAGGGCTTACTATTGTTCTGACCTTGCAGACAAGGAAACTGAGGCTCAGGGAGGCAGGTGAATGGGGCTAGAACTCGGAACGTGGAGACAGAATCTTCAGGTTCTTGCCCCAGGTCCTGTGCTCATTGTGTGTCCTTGAAGAATTCAGTTCTTCCTTTTGCTCATTCCTAAAGTGATGACAACAGTACTTCCCTCACGAGGTTTCCATGAGGATTAAATGAGATAATAAATGGAAGACACTATAAAGCACTGAGTATAAAACTCTACCTATGCGTTTACATATGAGTACATATGAGGTAGTCTGACTATGGTCACTACCAGCTGCGGTTCTAGCGATGAGTGACTCGCCAGATGTCACACAGCTAGTAGGAGGCTGACGGCAAACCCAGAGCTGTCTGATACCAGAAGGCAGGTTCTTAGCACCGCACAAGAGATGTCTTCCAAAGCATTTATGGGGTTCAAACAAAACACCTGCCTATCTGAAAGGTTGCGTTCTAGAGCTGCAATGATGTATGTAAAATTAACACTAGGGTTTTTTGGAAACCCTTCAAAGTGAGGAGCTCCTTGATCCCGATTCTATTGGCTATTAGCCCTGTTTAGTAAAATAAAAACTTATCACTTCCTACTAAAACACATTGCTCCATCATCCCTTGATGATACTGTTCCTTCTAGCGTAGTATCCAAATGCTAGAGGAGTAACCAAAATCTGCCAGTTTTTTTGGTTTTGTTTTTTAAGTAGTCAGTGCTGAG